GTTAAGACCAAATATTCGGGATATATTAGACCTATTTGATTGTTATTATGTTTCTATGACACATCAACATGCTTTAACCATAGAAAAACAAAGCAGCCAACCTAACCAATTGGGTTGAACCCAAACTAATGTGGTCAGACCACCCCCATGTGATAATCCAAAACCAAGGGCTTGAACTTAATCAAAACCAAGTGGGTCCACCTAGACTAAAGTGTTTTAAGTGTGGTGAACCAGGCCATAAATCTGTTGAATGTGTAACGGGTGATAAAAGAAAATGGGTGATGTTTGTAGAAGATGAGAGAAACCCAATTAGAAGCATTTGATTGTTCAGCCTCACCCATGTTTGATTTTTATAATGAAGAAACCTTTAAGGGAGAAATGGTGTATGGGGATGTGGGAGAGGCCTTGGTGATGTAGTGATCATTCCTATCTCCTAAGATTAATCATTGGATTGGCTAAGAAATAATATTTTCCACACCACATGTATTATGGATGGAAAATTTGAAAGCCATGTAATTGATAGCGGTAGTTGTGAGAATGTTATAGCAAAAGTAGTTGTCCATAAGTTGAACCTAAAAATTCAACAACACCCTCACCCCTACAAGCTTGCATGACTAAAAAGAAAGAATGAGATTTCAGTCACACAATGATGTTTAGTGAGCTTTTCTATTGGCAATAATTATAATAATTATGTGTGGTGTAATGTTGTATGCATGGATGCTTGTCATTTGCTATTTTGGCGCTCGTGGCAATTTGACCGCTACGTAGTCCACGAAGGACGAAAGAATACCTACTCTTTTGAGTTTAAAGGGAAAATGATGATCTTATGTCCATCACAAGAGACTAAACCGAAACCTGATGAAGGTTCTAGCCTTTTTGTCATGATTGAATTCACAAGTGCCTTAAAAGAGACTGGTGTTGCGTATGCTTTAATTAACAAGGGGCTTGAGTTGAAAGGTGTGGAGGCTCCAAAGGAGGTGAGGCCTTTGCTTGATAAATTTAGTGATGTGTGTCCCGAGTACTTATCGGTAGGATTACCACCATTAAGGGATATCCAACATTGCATAGATTTAACATCGGGTGCTAGTCTCCCCAACAAGGCCCATTACAGAATGAGTCCCACTGAGCATGGGGAATTGCAAAAGTAAGTAGATGAATTGATTGCTAAAGGGTTCATACGAGACAATACGAGTCCATGCATGGTTCCCGCCTTATTAGTACCCAAAAAGGATAGCACTTGGAGAATGTGTGTTGATAGCTGGACAATTAATAAGATAACCATCGAATATCGATTTTCAATTCCACACTTGGATGGCATGTTGGATCAGCTTTTTGGGGCCAAGGTGTTCACTAAGTTGGACTTGAAATCAGGCTACTATCAAATTAGAATTCGTCCCGGTGATGAGTGGAAGACAACGTTCAAGATGCAGGATGGTTTGTATGAGTGGCTAGTGATGCCATTTGGTTTGTCCAATGCACCAAACTCATTCATGAGGGTCATGAACCAGGTTCTCAAGCTTTTTATTGGTCAATGTGTTGTGGTATACTTTGATGGTATTCTCAATATATAGCATTGATATGAACTCTCATTTGTTGCATCTTCAAGATATACTTGTGACTTTGCGTAGGGAGCAACTTTATGCAACTATGAAGAAGTGTATCATTGCCACAAATCGGGTCTTATTCCTTGGGTATACCATCTCAAGGGAAGGAGTTTCTGTAGATCCAGAGAATGTTCGTGCCATTGTTGAGGGGCCCATCCCCAAAACATTTACTGAAGCACGAAGTTTTCATGGTCTTGCAAGCTTCTATCAATTTTGTGTTCACCATTGAAGCAGAAAGAGCCTTCATTGAGATTAAAGCACGATTGACAGTTGTACTCGTGCTAGCCCTTCCCAACTTCGAGCAA